TAAAACAAATTTCTTACCTGTACTCCATCTTGACAAATTTCATAGCTTTTACTAAAAGCTCTGGGACAATCATCAGGAATTTTACTACTGGCAATGTGCTCATTGATATCTTCTCCTTATAAAGAAAACAATGTTTGGTTCAAGATATTCATTACATATACATATTATTTTCAAGCTAAATATGGACTTGATGACAAATATATATATATATGTTTATATAAATATAAATATAAATATAAATATAAATATATAAATATATATATATATATATATATATATATATATAACAATTTGTCATTCTTTAGACAAATGCAAATTGTTTGTTGTTAGATTTATCCAAATATAAGCAACTACTTTACAATTTTATTTTGGGAAGCAATTTTCTTGTACATAATACATAGAAATCTTACCTGGAGTGTTGTTGAAATTACCACAGAGACCACAAGTTGGATATTGCTTGTGAAGGGTGAGCTATAAAAGAAATTTAAATGTATGCATTCATAAAATATTGAAAATATCTTAAGACAAAATTTACCCAAACCTAAGAATAGGGCCTCTTCGTATTCAATTCTACCTAAGCTGGTTACTTTGGGATGTACTACAGGGACTTTTTTAAAAGATCTGTCTCTAGAATTTGGAATAGGTCCTAATTCCACAACTTACTAACTATGTGTCTTTGGGCAGATTATTTAACTTTCATTAGCCTGAATCTCCTGAATTCCACCATCTTCAAAATAAGATTAATACTAAGATGTAGTTCAAGGTGTTTTAAATATTAAGATAACAGTACACTAATTACTACATAGAGATATCTCAATAAACTTTACATCTTATTTTTTTATAATATATTGTTTTTATAACTGAAAATACAGAACAAAAAGCACAAGATTATAAGAAAATCATAGATGGACTTACTGAGAGTTTGTTATTTTTGTCCCACATTAAAGATAAGATTCCTCTACGGCTATTCAGGACATTATGTTCTCCATATTTTTTAATGTGAATCAACTTATTGTTATATGGTATCTGCACACTGAAAAGTATAAAATACAAGTACACATAAATGTAACAATAGTATTATTATAACATGTTTTTCTGATAATTCATGTTTCTATATTTAGTATCATAAATATACTGGATAGTAGATATTAAAGTTTTCTTTTACATATCATTTCAGAAGAAGAAATACAATGGCTTTTTTTNCAGAGAAAGATATGGCCACATAATCTGTTGGTAGAAAGACAAGTTATAATGTAGCTTGTATTTAAACATGATTTTGAAAAGATTTACATTTGTAATATTTTCATTTATTCTTCTACAGATCAAAACCTTAATAATGTATATCTGCAAAGTGATATATAACATATATTATTATCAAGTCTCACTTAACAAAAGCCTTCATTTAAAAACCTTAAAATGTTTTTTAAATTTTTGAGGGCCATTTGGGAATCGATTTTGTAATAAATAAAGCTGTCTTTACTATAAGAAGCAAATTAGAATTATTTTACTGCCATATGAAAGAAAAAGTTAAGTAAAAATGTTTTATGGCTTAATGTCATTGAGAGACAATTGAAAATTACAGTAAACGATGGTCACATTAGAGCCTGGGAAATAAAAACATATGCAGAGGACTTACCCACAGTGTCTGTGAATTGGTTGGGTGGCATGGAAATATATAATTGCATCACAGGAACAATTTGTATTTGCATTTTTACATGGAAGTATGTTTCTACTTGAAAGTATGAGGAAGATGCCTTGAATATCTGTACTTTGTCTGTTAAAATAATTATTAACATTAATAGCAATAATTAACATAGTAAACAGTTTTTCATTTCTTAAAGTGGTTTTATTCTTTAATATCTGTTAAAAATAGAAACACGTAACATCCTTTAAAATTGTATAAATGAATGTCTCTTACATTTATTTTTAAATTAAATATTATTAAACTTACCTGAATAGTAATGACCTTGATTTCTAATATTGTCACTTGTTACTGTTCCATCTCTATTGAATGTATATTTGTCAACTGAAGCAGACTAAAATTTAAAATACATTGTTAGTTCATATTAATTTACAAAATTAATTCATTTTAATGTAATATATAAAAGTGAGGTTCTGTGCCATAACA